TATTTGATCTATCATTGTGTACCAGGCAAAAGTGACATTAGTCATAAAAAAATGTTGGCAGCAATATTCTACAAAGATCACTAAAAAGAAGCCAAAGGAAGTTGAAGAGAGAAGAACTGGTTTGGTCATAGTATCCATGGTGATGTATGAATCTGAATAAATGAACTGATGAAATACTTTGTCACATATTGGCAGAAAATATTGTTGCCATAGTGAAGCACATTCCTCAAGCACAAAGAAGGCTTTTTCAAATAGTGCATATTTTGAATCAAATTGCTTGAAAGTCGAACCCCCGGTGCTCTTTCCTGCACTCATTCTGATGATCCTGGCGAGGGAAGCTACAGATTTTTTGCCATTTCCTCGGGGTTATCTGTTCAGTGCTGTCAGTATGAAAACAACTGCTGTTGGGTGCAGGCATCCGCACAGCTGACCCCTGCAGCAGCAGTGTGCTGCCTCCCACACTCAGATGTTAAGTCTTCCAAGCCCCCGCACTGAGCATGCTCAGACAAACCAGCTCCTGGATCTCTACAGGAGTTTAGCTTAGCAGTCATCTGCGCATGGAACGATGCGAAGTGACAAGAACAGTGGGAAGCCATGGAGCTGAGATAAGAAGCAGAGCCAAAAGCTAGACCGGCATACAAAAATACACACAGGCCCACGATGGCAAATGGAGTATACATAGAAAAATTTATTTATTTATTTATTTTTTGCTCTGTCAACGCACAAGTCCGTCCGAAACCAGACAGAAACATAAAGAAAGACGATCTTGTGTAAGCTGCTACAGTAAGAAAAGAATGTTGATATAGCGTAAGAAAACACAACTTTATTAGTAACATGCCTTTGTCCCATTTTCAGTACTTCTAAACCTAAAAGCAAAACCTGTAAAGTTGTACAGTTATTCCGGCTCTCCCACAGAGCTGCAAATCTGTGCACTTCCTCTGCTGCAGCTGACACTTATGTAGGTAGAACAGAAGTGCTGACTCCACAAAGAAAGCCTGTACTGCATCAGAGAGGAAGGCACAGCACAAACACGTGTTACAACCTTTTCAGTGCAAACGCAAAATATCTCCAGATTAGGCTCCAGACGCAGAGTGCGGTTGTTATCGGAAGCGTATAGCGTAGAGTAGTTCTTTCACTTTTATGTGTTAATTCTAAAACAATTGTAAAACCTCCGTCAACTCCCAGTGCAGCCTGCGGAAGAAATTTGTTTAATTATCCATGGCAGCTGCTGTCCTGTTTGGGTCTACTGGGGACAATTAGGACGTGCGACTTAACAAACACCAGCCAACAGCCTCCAATCACATGCAAAGGCAGTATTAGCAAGCGTATGCAGACTTTCATGATGGCACTGAAACCAGAAAAGGAATCTTATTTTAAGTTATTTTTTTCTTCACCTCACCACCCACCTTCTCCTCCTACTCCGTTGCATAATGCATGAGGATATTTAAATGCTCTTATCACATTCCCAAGACAATAAACAGATAGATACCAAATAAATGAACAAATGGCAGCGACTGGGCACAGAGTATGTGAAAATTAGAGAACGCTTTTGAATTTTTAGACTCACATAAAAACAAAACAAAACAAAAAACTGTATTTATGAGCTGATATCATTTCTATTAGTTCTCTTTTCTTATCTTTGACCTAAGGAGAGTCAGTGTGGACTGAGACATAACCTTCAATTCGGATCTTAATTAAATAATAATAATCATAATAATAAAAAAAAACTCTTTGTCTCTTTCTAATCCCAAAGCTGCACATTGGGTACATTCCAGAAGGGTTCTGATCTTAATGACTCGAGTGGTCTCTAATGAATCCTAAAGACCTGCTAAACTCTGCCTCTGACTGCTGTTCCTCGTCCAATGCATTATGCTGTCAGAGCGCTCTTTTAATATGTTGATATTAGTTATTGCAGAGATATAACCACAATCAGCAGACTGTACCTTGATTTACTGATATTTTAATAATCCATAATTGTTGATTTCTGCTTGTTTGCTTTGTGCCACATGGAGAAAGACTAAGGCCTTGAAAAGCAAATACGCTTCAGATGTTAAACAAGTCATCAGAGAGAAAGCTGGCTAACACTGCCACCTGCTGGAAATATATGGTTTGTTCACTGATATTTTCACTGATATATGGGCATCTAGAAGAAAACACAAACAAACAAACAAAAAAAAAAAACAGTTGATCTTGGTGAATCATCTCTGAAAACTATTCCCATACCTGCTCAGCCACTCAGGGTGAAGCTATGAAATATACTCCTATGAAAAGAATTAATCCACTATATAGGATTATTTTGGCCCAACTAATCCTATAGTGGATTAATTAGAGACTGATCCTTTGGCAATGTAATGTAATATCAGGTCATTCAGAAGCTTGTGTTGAGTCATTTTTGACACATGGTTCCACTTCTGTAAATGATGGGTTCAAAAAACTACATCTTGCTTTGATTTTTTTTTAATTTGGCTAAATTCAAGTTTATTTGTGTAGCTCCAAATCGCAATAGCAGTCACCTCAAGGCGCTTTATTCTGTAAGGTAAATGCCCTACAGTATTACAGAGAATAAATTCCCAACAATAAGATCATCCCCTGTGAGCAAGCAGTAGGGAAAAACTCACTTTCAACAGGAAGAAATCTAAAACTAAAACTAACAGTTAACTCAAGTTTCCACTTCAAGCCAGAATCACAGCATAGTAAATTGTTTACTTTAGTTATAGACTTTTGTTTTGAAAGATCATTACCAAAAAAATAAGTGCAATTAACAACAACTCAATCTTATTAAAGAATTTCATAGTTTCATATGATGGTTTTTGCATAGTTTCAGACAAATGAGATTTAACATTTTGTGCCAAAGTGAAACTGACATGACACACATTTTTTTTCTTTCTTTTCTTTTTTTTTTTTACTGTGTGCCCTTAACCCAGCGGTTCATCTTAAACACTGGTAAAAGAGAATTTTATTTACAAAGATAACTGATGCTGAAATGGCAATCCTCAACAGCAGACCTGCTGTTACGCGTATGTGATGTGACATGTATGTGCGGTGTTACATAAACGTGGACAAATAACCGTTCGCACAGAGACACATTCCAAAGCTATAATAATCCAGCTATTGACAGTTAGATAAAAGTGCTGCTCTTTGGACATTTAATTTTATTTATCCTCGGCCCTAGAGGTGTAATGCTGGAACTGACGATACACAGGTAAACAGAGATAAAGGATTGCACATCTGAGACTATAAAAGGTTTCAAATGTATCAGGCCTTAAATAAATAGTGAGGCAAGTAAAAATTTTGGATTAGAGCACTTCTGAGCCAACGATGCGTTTTCATAAAGGCCATGATGACGCATCGGCTTTTTCATCAGCTTAATCACAATGAAAAATTACAATTTGGTCCCATCATGTATGCTGATGACTACAGAAAGCACTCTTGTATCTTGATTGTCTTTCTGACCTTTATATTCAGTCTGGTTTAGTTAATCTGCAGCACAGACAACCCAGACTAAGTTAGATTTGTATATCCTGTTAAAGAATGGAACCTGTTGTTTGCATAAGTTATTTGTACTTACTTATAATATGTATTTTTTAAGCAATGCAATATACATTATACATACAGATACATATCAGAGCTTAAAAAATAAGGATCAGTTCATTAATTTTCTGATGAATGATGTTTTCAGCTATCATTTTTTTCCCAATTAAACACACAAAGCAAACAAATATTGATTATAATCAACATTCACAAGAGCATATCTCTCACTTCACTCACTTCAGATTTTGAAAAGACAAAGAGAAAGCTGCACATTCTGCAGTTGCAGTAATAAATAAACAGTTTAATATAATGCATAGAAACAGATGTAATGTCCAGGAAAGAAAGCCCATTTATTAAATGTTCATGACTCTCTGTTTATGTTTCTCCTGCAGGAAGAACATTTGTCCTTCTGAAATGCCAATGAAACCTCCCACAGCACCTACGTGCAGGAAGCTGTACATGCAACTCTCACTCTGAGCTGTGCTTGGTGCAGTAAGATCCACCTTGCCTTGTTAATGAGTTTTGTTGAATTAAGTTCCCACTGACAATCTTCTTCATACATTCAAAGACACAAATAAAACCATGTTAGAGCATTATTCAGTATATAGCACACTGTCTGTAAAATATTCACAACATTCATGTCACAGTTTACTTTTGAGTAATGTTTGATTTGGTAGAGTTAGGAGGTAATTAATAAAAATACTTTTATGGAATAAAAATAACAAATATAACATGAAATGAGAATGCTTCATAAATACACTGAATGCATTAATCTCTTGCTGTGCTAATTTCCTTATAAATTAAAAATGTAAGCAGAAATCATACATTTTGCTTAGATTTACGTAGATTTGATTTTTACAGTAGTCTATATCACCACTGTGCATAAGTTTCACTTCTGTCTATAATGGCAGATAAGTGATCTCATCTGTTGATGTATTTATAATACATAAAGGCAGCATAGCTATAATGATGTAGCTCATGTCCATTAAGATAAAAGAAAAGAGCTGGTCGTTATCATAGCTTAACTCATATTTTTCTTTAAAAAGTATATCTTGTTCAACTGCAGTTAATCTGTAAAAGTGTCCAGGAAGTCCTTCTGTTTGTCCTATTTGGGTTCATACACATATTGCACATATCAAATGAACTTGCTGGTCATTTATTTACTTTGAATAGCAGGGCTGGAGGGTTTAAAAATAAACAATTTGCAAACTTTTAACTACACATGTCTCCATGCAGCTTTCTGGGAAGCTTACTGAGTCATCTATTTATTCGACTCAGATCAACTTCGCTACACTGAAGACTGCAGTTAAAAACATGCAGTTCAAACTTCTGTCTTAGTCCAACACTATTATAACCAAAGAAAAATGTGCAACTTAAAATAAACATGTAAAGATTTATGTTATTTTCCAATAACAGTGTTATTAATCATTAATAAAACTTTTATATAACAGTTATTGTACTGTGCCTGGAATTGCATAAACTTTGGCACTATCTATCATCTAGAAATGAGTGACAGTGTAAACCATTGGGTAATCTTTTACTTTGAGTGAGTAATAGTAAGCAATATTTTGCTGGAACTCTAGATTCTATTGGGGAGACAACATCCATAGCATTTCATCTTGGCTCATCAGGAATACTATTTCCCATTTGTAGCGTGAGGGTCTTCTCCTCTGTGTCTTTTTCTTGTATGTCTATCTGTCCCTCACACTGTTGAGAAAGTCTTTTTCCATTGGTAAAGGTCAATCGCCTATTTACCGATACACCGTTAAGGTGCAGTTTTCTCCGATATAGTCTTTTGCAGTGAAGCAGCTCTCTGTAGGCTCTGTGGAAATCCCTGTTAAAGGCTGGATAAAGTATTGGATTCAGGGTAGAGTTAAAATAACCCAACCACAGGACTACGGAGTGAAGTGTATTAGGCGGGTTTGTCTTTTCCTTCATTCCAATCCAGGTGAAGTAGGTGAAGTAAGGGAACCAACAGATGACAAAAGCCCCAAGTACTGCAGCCAGGGTCACTGTAGCTTTGTGCTCTCGGGCTATTACTGCAGTTGCTGTACGTGCAAATGATGGCAGGGTAGCACGAATTCGCCTAGCCTGAAAAGATTGGTTAAGAGAAGGACAGAGAGCCAGGGGACAAAGATAATGAGATCTTGGGACTTAACCAAGTCACTGGTTTGATAGTCAAGGATTTACAATTACAAGACAATATGAATTTAAATAAATCCCATTTAAATGTCCACTGAAAAAACAAAAAAAATATCTTTATTCATATATGTATTTCTATAGCAGTTGGCCAGACATCTTCAAAAAGAAATGTAAGCCTTGAAGTAATGACCTTTGACAAAATCATAATAAACACTGACCTGTTCTCGTGCCATCCTGAATATGCAAAGATACATTCCACACATAACCATCAGAGGCAGGTAAAATGAGCCAAAGGCATAAAGAAGAACATAGTTGTTATTCCATCCAAACTGACAGTAGTAGCCCTCTTTTTCATCATCCCCCATGCCCCAGGCTAAGTTTTGAACCCTGTAGTCCGCTGTGTTCCACCCCAAGTGGATAGGCAGAACGGACACAGCTAGTGACATAGCCCAGATGGTGATGATAGCCAATGTCACTCTTAGAGGTGTAACTCTCCGGGAGTGGCTAAGGGGTGCTGAAATAGCAAGGTATCGGTCCACACTGATTGCTAGGAGGGTCAGGATGGAGGCCGTGCACAGCATGACGTCTAATGAAATGTAGATGTTGCACAGGGCTCTTCCAAACGGCCATTCCCCGCTGCGCAGCTCCACAGTGGCGGACAAGGGAAGCACCAGTAGGCCAAGGAGGAGATCTGTCACTGCCAGCGAAACCACGAAGCAGTTAGCAATTCTCCATAGTCGACGGCTCATTCCTACAGCCAAACACACTAGCACGTTACCACCAATGGTCAGAATGATGAAAAACACCAGGATGAGCCAGCGCAGTGCTGTGGCGATCATGATGCACTCCTTCTCTGGCACTGGAACAGTGCTACTGCCAGTACCTCAGTAGTAAATATTGAAAATGTCTCATCTGCTTATCTCCAAAGTTTCTCAGCTGTTGTCAGGTCCCTCAGACTGTCTTTTCCATGGTATCTATGTGCATAGAAGCAGTCTGGTTTAAAGGTTTATCTCTGTATGGAAAGCTCTTCATAGTCTTCTCTTGTTTCACATTGCCACAGCCTCTGAAGTAAACATGACCCTGATGAAAAACAAAAACAATGGGGTTACTTTAAAAGCTATAAAAAGGAAACATGTTTATCCCTCTGTCATTTAATGAAAAAGTCCAAGTCCAACGCTGTTAAAGGTCAAGATACCACAGATGGTCACTGAGAAAATGACAAATAAGCAAACTATGCACAGGGCTGCAAATCCTGACATTAGGTGTGTATATGTAGATATAAAATAGTGTCACTTCAATTTGTTTTTTAAGTAATAAGGTTTCCATAAAAATATAAATAATTCAATATAAGACAGTGGACTACAATACTGACAGGCGATCATATGCTACACACTGAATGCAGCATGAGCTCTGGACCTTTTCTGCATGTCTTTCTCTGCGTGCTCTTCCTACTTTCTTGTCTCATCTTCATTCCTCCACTATCCAATAAAAAATAAATCTTCATAAAAGATTTGGTTTTTGATTTTTTATGCTACTAATGCAGTTCTAAGACCAAATGTTCTCAGTTGAAATCAGAAATGAGAAAATTGATCTCTACTCTGACTTTGGATTTGACCTCCCAGGGAATCTGTAACACTGCTAAGTAAAGTTACATATTTTTTCAACACATATTAAAGCATTCCACAATAACATTTTCCATTTTCTTTCACAAAATCATGTTGAATTTACCCTGACTCATAGAACAACCCTTGCATTGTGCCTTATATTGTTAAATAAACAAATACATCCAGTTGAGGAGTCCTCTATAGACAGAAATGCACCCAAGTAATGACACCCACACTGACATTTCCCCATGTTACACTATCCATAACTGCCAGATCTGCTGTAAAATATACAACAAATAGAAATAAAAAAAACTGTCCCTAGATGCAAATTTTTACTAGCTACACTATATTATGCACAACCATCAGCGTAATGCATAACAAGATATTAAAAACAGTCATAAAAGACAATAGTGTAAGTCTAAAGGTATAAGAAGACATAGAAACATTGAAGCTCTTTAAGCATGGGAGGACTTTTAAAAGAAAAAAAAATCCCGACTTACATCAAATTTTACAGTATGAAAATATAAAAACCCTGAATGAACAGACTCGCGCTGTTTTTTTTTTGGCGTGTTTGACAGCTGCCCTGCCTTGAGCCAGTGCTGATGGATGCAACTCATAGTTTAATAATAAGCAACATAAACCAATTTCCTGTAAGAGTTAATTTAATTTGATCACATCTGTATAATGTATGTTGTCATGCTTCATGTGTTGTCCATGCATCATTTTTTAAATTAATTCAAAATAGAAATTAGACACATGAAAATAGCTACAATCATAGACTGTTTCATCGCTAGTGTTTTTGTTTGGTTTTTTTTGGCCTTAGACAAACATCAGAGACACATGCAATATTTAGTGAGCATGGTTTAAACAGAACGTAAGATACCAGAGCCTCAACTTTATGACATGTTTACCAAGACAAACTGTTCATTCATGTTTAGATTACAGTTGTGGTAATTTTGTTTTGTGGCACCGATCCAGATCCTCTTCAGGGGTTTCACAACAGAATGTAATTCATGCTGCGACAGCAAACATGCAAAAATAATAAGAACAGATATCGCGTTATGGTGTTTATATTGGGGTGGAGGAAATTATGGCTGTGTTCCAACAATAATAGAATGATAAGTAATGATAACAGAATAATTATTGTTCTTTTGACAACCGTGTTCAAAGATCCTATTTTTGGAAGAGAGGATATGTGATTAATTTAGCCACGAGGTTTTGTCTCAGGAACATGCTAGGTACACAGACTAATCAGGTGTAAATGTAGGTAGAGCTAATTAAGCTTTTCAATTATTTTTTTTATTATATTCTCGGAAAGATAGTTATTATTTCTAGATACAGCCATAGTCTATTATAGCCTATAGTGAATGGCATCTCTAAAACATTGTAGATCAAAATTTTGACAGTCGACATTCTTCAGAAAGGTTCATTAGGTACACACTTCTAAATGAAACCAAATCGCTCAAATCAAATTAAATTAGCCAAATAGAATTTTTCACAGTAAACCTCAAAGTTTGGTGTAAAATAAATCACAGTTTTTATGTTTAATTAATTCGATTCTAATTTAACAATTTTTTAAAACATTTTTTAATCATTATAACGTATGTATAGTTGATTGTCTTTTGTCATTTCACTTTAATTTTCTGCAAATTATCTAAAAATCATCATCCCTATTGAATAAAATAGATTCATGTAATTTAATTAATTAATTAATTAAAGAAAGTCAGATCCATATTTCTGGCTTCATTGGCAACAGTTGTGAACAATACTCTTCAAAATGCTGAAGCCCTGGGTTTTTTTTGTGTTTTTTTTAAAAAATCTCTACACATACTGTTCTGCTAACAGTGTTCCTTCTAAAAAAAAGCACACAAAATGCCAACACCCCTCACCTAAATGTTCCTCCATATGATGATGTGCATAATGGATATTCCGTGATTTGATTTTCTTTTAAATTTACCAGTGTAAATGTGATAAGTCTTAACATTTGCAGACTTTGGAGATCTCATAATGATGGAGCAAAATTCTAAATTAAATTTTTTTCTTCCACAAATACTGTTCAAGCATAACATAACATAAGAAGAGTGTACAGGAAATGAGTGTCTCCTTTCCTTTTACAGTAAATACCTGAAAGTTAGGTAAGGTGCAGTTTATCAAAAATGACAGTTTTCTTAAGATGTAAGGTGGTTTATTCTTCACACAATTACAAATAAATTAGGCAGTACTTAAAAATATTTATGCAGTACTTAAAATTACTTACGGTATAATTTGTATCTCCTTTCCTCCAAAATGTGGGTGCTATTATTTAATCACGAATCAAATTGACTTACAATGTAATTATTTCTTCTTTCCTGTAAAGTATGTGAAGTTAAGAACTACCTATAATAATATAATAATATAATTGTATCATAATCAACTCATAACTAGGCCATTATTTCAAATCATGACATTACCATTTGTCTTCTCATGCTTCAAGTTAATGAATTTAAAGCAGCCTTTGTTTCACCTGTACTTGGCCATTCAGAGGATCGAACCTTTTAATGTTTTTGATCATCTCAATGGATTTCCCTCGGGGATAAAAACGTGTTGTTTCCATGGGGACTTTGTTTGTTCAGCACAGACAGAGGTTTAGTAATCTGGCTACCGTCATTTACAGCCATAATAACCAGGCTTTACTGAGTATAGGCCATAAAAAGTCAGGGAGGATTTAATAGGAAAGAAATTCAAATAAAAATCACTGATGTTTGTCTCCATTTTTTTGCACTTTTGTTGACTTACAAACGCACAGAGAGAACCGGTGAAATGCAACATTTTATCTGCAAACAAATAAAATAAAAATAAATAAATAAAATTTTCCAACAATTTTTGATTTGTCAAACTGTCACTTAGCAAGAGCTTAATAAAAGGAAGAAAAGCCTAAAGATTAAAAAAAATAAGCTTGCCAAGTAATACTTACAATAGTTCCCTGCAATGTGAATAGTTGGATATAATCTGTGGTCACCATGTTTCAGTAGGACACGTGCGTGTGTTTATAACAAACGGATGTGCGGATTGATGTCAGGCTAACACTCTGTGCATGACTACAAACTACATGCCACAAGTAATGCTGCCTCTTTTAGCTCATCATACTGCATTGCTTACTAACAGTTACCACATGAAAATTCTTTCTTCAATTCTGCACTCCAGACTATCTCATGAAAATAATGAAATGGTAATATGTTTCTGTTCAGCAGCAATCGTGCACACAGTGGTCAGAGAACCTGAATTGATCATGGAACTAACGAAGGTACCAAAAATCAACAATGAGAGGGAGTAAGATCTTGGCTGGAATGGCAGAAGAATGTAGCGAGTAGGGGGAGGGACCATTATAGTTCAATAATTTAACAACTGAAAAAAGAAACCACGAAGAGCAGTCTGGTAAATCATTTGGGAATTTGCCAAAGTGAAATCCTAGAAGAGGTTATATAATTTTTGCCCAGTGGCACTGGGTTCTTGCCTTGTCTTCTGAAACTCTGCTTTTTGCTTTTTTACTACTTGTTTACAACTTGTTTAGAGTAAACTGATTTCATTAGGGACACGGCTCATGTCTTTTCAGAGACACAGACTTAATTTCATGTGGCTCATTCGGAACAACTCCTACATGTTTACTGCAATATCAGCTAGCCCTACTGTCATTTACCCAAATCTGAATCTGAAGTATGAAGTCAGCAAAATCAGAAAATAGAACCCATTAACTTGATAATCCACATTTAAAACTCACATGTGACATGCAAAAGCATGCCTGGCCACAGCTTATCTCTGTGTTGCCCTATACATATACTGCCAGCTGCCTACATGCCAGCTAACATCCTCTGAATAGGAATAAAAATCAAATAAATCAAATCCCCACATCCGTTTGGTATAAACACACACACGTGTCCTACAGAAACATCAAGTTGATCTTTTTGCGAGAGCCTTCATCTCAGCACTGTCTCATTTCAGATAAGATCACAACAACAACCACAAAAGAGAAATGTTTATTGCCTCACCTCACGTGGTTTGTCGTAAACACCTGTCAGATCCAACACTTCTTCCTTGAACATAGATGTACTGATTCCTCAGACCTGACTGTGTAAACGTATCCCTCTCTCTCTCTTGCTCTCGCTCTCTCTCTCGCGCGCTCTGTCTCTCCCTACTGCCTGCTCTGTTTTAGTAGATGTTATCAGCACATGCACTTCTTGCAGTTCTGTGACATCGTTTCATTTGCTCCCTTTAAAGTTTATTTCAGCCCACATCTTCAGAAGAGTTGAATGCTTGTCCCACAACTTCAGCCTGTATCATTCTTTCTTATACAAGACAGAGTTAGTAGGTAATATAATTAGTGGGGAAAAGTGAGCCACTATTTATTTAATTATAAACAATATGTCTTTAATTATATAACTGTATATTTGTTATCATTTGCAATGTTGCAGTGCAGACCACTAGTAGTCATTATATGACACTCAGTCGATCATATAGCAGTAAGTGCATCACCTGCTTAGAAAGTCTATTCTTTTCTCAGCATTTAGAAAGGATCCTTTGACCAGCATATAATTTAAACAAAAAACCTGCAGCACAGGAAATAAACATATTGTTTTTTTAGTGACCTACACAGCTCAGGGATGATTATCAAGATCCGCACCCTGCACACGTGTGATGCTTTTCATAGAATCAGTATTATACATTCATGTTGGTAAACTGATATGGCAACTTGCTGATGTTTAGCACATGATCCTTGCTATCTGTCACATTTTGACTTGTTTGCATGGTAATATTGATTTATTAATGCAGAGCAAAATTTAAAGTGCAGTTTGCTAACAGGATTTTTTTTAATTCTAGGGAATTAAACATGCAATTAAACAAGCTGACTGCACTCGTGGAGTGCAGTCAGCTTCTTCAGCCAGTAGGCGTGAACCATGTCGGGGCCTGGTGCCAACTCTTCATACTGGAGACCCTTTCTTGGATGTCTGCCACTGTGATGGTTACTGGACCCTGTTCAGGGAGGTTGCTGTGGCCTCCCCTGTGCTCTTCCAGTATTGCTCCGTCTCCAGCCTTGGTGGTGCTGTTTTCATATTGTTCCCCTGCCACTGAGAGTACACCATGGCTGGTTCTGTGGAGAACAGCTGGTTTATTCTCCTGCCTTCAATCTCTCTAGTGTACCTCTTTAAGTGGCTGGCCAAGGCTGCCTCAGGTATGGACAGCTTGCTGTACTTCTTAGGCACCTTCTTTGTCGCACCTTTCTGCAGCTCCGATAGTTGGCTAACCTCTCTCCGTGCTACCTTGATCTTAGCCTCTAGTCTCCTTCTCCATGGTTCAACTTATAGCCCAGCATCTCACTGATCACTGCCGCCGTATTGTAGATCAGCTTGTTAGAGTTGGTAATGATGACTGTAGGTATCGTCCGCAGTGCTACATTAACATCATCTAGCAGACCTTCTGAGGGTACTTCACATAGTCTTGATAACCAGCTACGGGTGATCCAAGTTTTAAGCTTGGCCATGATCCTATCTTTCAGTTCCTCTCGCACTCAACAATCCTGCTTCTATCGCACTTGGGGCTTGGTACCCAGTCTCAGGCGCGGGTGATGATATCTCTCCCCTGACCTGGCATCCTGGCTCCCCCTTGCCGTAGCATTTGTGTTGTACCTCGTCAATAGCTGTGAGAGCAGTCCCTTCTTTCGAATGTTGGAACACTGAGCT